AATTTATATTTTATGTAATGTTAAACAGACGACGATGGTGGAGAGGAGCCAGTTGGTTCTTCAAGAGTCCGCCTCCCAACTTCCTCCCGAGACTCCGATCGAGTCTGTGGATCCTCCGCATGATGCTGGATTTCAGATTTTGACGCAGACGTTGGATCAGACTCTCGGGAGGAGGCCGGGAACGTATTGTAGGGGGATGGGGAATGCCCAACAGAGGGAACCTCGACCGCGGTCATCGTTGCAGGCAAACAGTCAGGTGATCCACAGACTGTTTAATTAAAAAAAAAAAACCAAATTTATTTTTTTACAAAATTAAAAATCAAATAATAATAAATTTTTTTAAATAATATATATTGCTTTTGCGCGACGAAACGTAAATCGTCGCGCAAAAACATTTAAATAACAAATCGACAAATATATTTTAATCTTGCGCGACGAGTAATTTCGTTGCGCAAAATGTGTATGCGCGACGAATAAGATGTCGTCGCGCAAGGTTCATGTACTTCGCGCGACGGACAATTCCGTCGCGCAGTTTTTTTTGCGACGACTTCTGTTTCGTCGCGCAAATATTTGTGCGACGGACAATGAGGTCGTCCCGAAATGTTTTTTGAAACGAAGATGTTATACGTAGCGCAAACTGCGCGACGAATGACATTTGTTCGTCGCGCAAATGCTTTCTTCACGACCTTTGCGCGACGGATTGAGCGCGACGAATATTCTGTCGCGCATAATGATGTGCGACTAAAATCGTTTTTGCGCGACGAAAACACTTTCGTCGCGCACAGGCGACGGACTGTGCGCGACGAAACTTCTGTCGCGCATAATGATGTGCGACTAAAATCATTTTTGCGCGACGAATATCCTTTCGTCGCGCAAAGACTAAAATGTAGTAGTGATATTGTTGCTGAATCTCAGTGGGAAAAAAGAAACTATTGATACTTCATATGAAGTATTGGAGAAAGTCTCTGGGGCTTCATTAGTGGGAAAGAATGAGTACTTCTGTTCCTTATTTTTTCAAATTATTGTCAGACTGGAGTTTAGTATGTGGTTTCTTTTGTTTACTTAGTTCATGTAGTTATTTATGCGTATCACAATTATAAAGAGACTGTGAACTGCAGGTATGAACCATTATTTGACTACTTTAAGGAGTTCTCTAATGTGGCATTCAGAGTTGTTGCCGACAACTACGTAACTGATGACAGTGGTACTGGTGTTGTTGTTCATTGTGGTCCTTTATTCGGTGAAGATGATTATTTGCTCTTTTCTTTCTTAGCCTTTGCTCTTTTCTTTATTATTTGTAAAGCCTTGTAAGTGGTATAATTGTCAAATGCAGTTGCGGTGGTAGATGCCTGATTGCAGAATACACAAATCGAGTGGGAGAAATAGCTAAGAAGCATGGTTTGAAGCTTCACATTGATGGGGCTTGCATTTTCAATTCATCAGTTGTGAGTCAACTTTTGCCATGCATTTAGTTATAACTAATGTATAAAATTTGGATGATATTCAGTTTAATAAATCAATAACAAGGCTATAATCATGTCAGTGATGAAATAGATCAATGTAAATGGAAGAGATTGTCTTAATGATTAGATGGATTGAAGTTTAGTCGGAAAAGAAACTAGTTATAAATTTTTTTTAGTTGAAATTTAAACTTTGGTTTTAAATTGATAGATAATGAATGGATTCCATTCATAGAATGGTAGCTTTGATTGTTAATTAAGGAAGGCTTGTTAATATTTTATTAGTTTAAAAAAAACCAAAAGCTCATCATATTTTTCATGGTAAACACATTCAAATGGATCAACAATATCACATCCTCTGAAATCCCCTTTTTCGATATGTGTTTCTTATAATTACCAACATAAAAAATGACAGAATATTCAGTTACTAACACAAACTATTGGGCCACAGGCGCTTGGTATTCCTGTTGATAGGCTTGTGCAAGCTGCTAATTTAGTTTCAGTATGATTCCTATAACTGGCATTCTTAGTTATCCTTATTTATCAAGTTTTATTAACCAAACCTGTTAAAGTTTTATTTTCCCTTGATCTTAATGTGCAGCTCATATTGAAAATCATTACTAGCTCTGCTGCCATGTAAGGACCATTTATAGAACTATGTTTTATAAATAAGGGAATATATGAACACTATTCTAACCGATGATGTAACTAGTTTGGCTGTGCTATAGAGAATGGAGTACTCTTCATCTTATCTCTAGCATTGTTCTTTGAATTATGTCTTTTGATTGCATGACATGTTAATTTGAAAATTCAAGTAAATGAGTTTTTTTTCTTCTCAAAATGCTGATGCAGAGCATGAAAGTGAGCCATGGAGAGTGTAAAGGACTTGTGATGAAGCTAAAGTGAGCCATGAAGTTGTTGAGACACCAGCTGAAGGAATGGAGCAATTAAAGTGCAATTGTAGTCTGCTTTGGTAAGTTCTAAGTTGCTTTCTTCTATGCTTGATCTTTTGAAATACTCCTGCGATTTAAATAGTAGTTATATTAGTCCACATAATAGTACCTTTTCAATATACACTAGTTTGTTTTTAGAACACATTTTCCATGCTATTCACATCTAGTTGACTGACTTCTTGGCTTAATTGCATTACTCAAGTTTTCTCACATTTTTCAAGTTCAGGCCCAAGTTATGGAGAAGAAGGAGCCATCTTAGTTGCTGATTTCCAAGACCCGCCCCGAATTTCCTGTAACCCGAGACGAATCCTGTGGAAACCCCGGCATCACACTTATGCTGGGCCCACTCACTAAAAAGGTAGCCTCCTTTTTCAAAAGGAGAAAGGGCCCGAGACTTTCTGCCGGAATTTCGGCCATCTCCCCTATAAATTGAACATTCCCCAAAAATTCCAATTAATTCAATTTCTAAAATCAATTTCAAATAAGTTTATAGGTTTTCAACAAAAAATAAAAAATAAATAAAAAATCATTTATATTTACTTAACAGCAATATAAACGGAATGAACCACATTGGCTAACGATCTTAAACAAGGGGACCAAATTGGCCAAATTAAAAACACAAGGATAAAATTGGCCAACGTGATAAAATACAAGGACTATTTTAGCATTTAAGCCTTACACATACCTTGAAGCTCTTTAAACCTGCCAAAGTTCAAAATCTCCTGCATGAAAACAAAATACGATAACAAAAGGAGATAAAAAGAAAGGGTTATCTACAGTAGACGTCTCTGAACTTGACCTCCAGTTGCAATTGGGTCCGTGACTTTTTTTCGTGCTAATTACATCCTTTAACTGGACAAATAGTTGCAATTAGGTCATGCCATCCAACTTTGTCAATTTGTCTATCAAAATGAGGGGTAAAAGCTTCCTTTCGAGTCTGAAGACTCTCCTTCGTTCGAGGGCTTTAATGGTGAAAGATATTTCTAAGTTAATTCCTACATCCATTACAACAATTTGAAAGATCTTTCCAAATTTAACATGTGTCATTAGTTACACCCCCACATAACAAGTTCACTTGTAAATAGGGGTAGTTTTGGAATCCGAAAAATATAATAAATCAGATTTTAAGCTAGATTAGATAACGTGCTTACTTGAATCCTAGTTATCGGGTTTTATTTGAAAACATTGGGTATTTTAAATAGAAAAATAAAGGAAAGGTTTGTAGGTGATTAAAAATGAATTTTATGGATCTAAGCTCAAAGATGACATGTAGATGGAAATTGCATCGCATAAGGTAATAGTATAAAGGATTCCAAGTCCAGAACATAAAATATTACAAGAAATATTTTCTTCACAGTAACTTGAAAGACATTGGTGGTACTCTTTTCTCTCTTGGGGTTTCTTCTGTGTAGTTTTCCTAGGAAGGTTTTAATGAGGCCACTGTGTTCATGCTTGTCTTTTTGTATGGATTATTGGATTATAAATGGAATCTCTTTTGCTCTCAAAAAAAGAAGAGCTTGTGCCACTATCCATACAAGAACCGGTTGATAAAGAAGAGACATACCACGGCTCGGTTATTTGGCTTTGATCATATTCCACCTCTGCAAAATTTTGTTGGACACCAGAAGCTTTAACTGACAATTGAATTCCCTCCAACTCTACTGCCACTTCTTTCATAGTAGGACGCTTTCTTCCATTCAAATTCAAGCATGCTTTTGCAAGATTAGCAACGGCCACAATCTGGTCATTTTCACCATCCTTCATAACTTGAGCATCAAGAATAGCAAACAAATTATTATCCTCCATGGACAGAAGGAAATAAGTTGCTAGGCTTCTGCTTTCTGGTGACCTCATGAACGAAACTGGTTTTTGTCCGGTCAAGAGCTCAGCAAGGACGACTCCAAAGCTATAAACATCACTCTTCTCTGTAAATTGGCTAGATTGGAAGTATTCTGGGTCCAGATAACCAAATGTTCCACGTACTAGTGTTGTAAGGTGCGTTTGGTCAATGGAAATTGACCTTGAAGTCCCAAAGTCTGCTACTTTGGCTCTGTATTTTTCATCCAAGAGTATGTTAGAAGACTTGACGTCCCGGTGGTAAATTGGAAAGGAAGCTGCAGAATGTAAGTAGGAAAGTGCTCCTGCAACTTCGATTGAAACTCTTAATCTCGTTTCCCATGTAAGAGGGAACTCCTCATTCTGGTGATGAATATATTGAAAAAGTGTTCCATTGGGTATGAATTCATAAACCAAGAGGGGAACTTCGGTCTCTAAACAACAACCCAATAGCTTAACCACATTCCTGTGGGAAATTTGTGAGAGAATGACAATTTCATTAATGAACTGTCCAACTTCACCTCCCTCAACTATTTTGGACTTCTTGACAGCAACAATTCTTCCATCCGCCAACATTCCTTTATAAACTGTACCTTGGCCTCCCTGACCAATAACTCTGTCTGCATTAAAATGGTCCGTGGCTTTCTCTAGCTCCTTGCAATTGAACAACTTAACCTTCTCAACATTGAGTTCACCGGAAGATAATTGTTGCTCCAACACTAAACCACCATTTTGTCTAAAGAACTTCTCTTTGCGTTTCATATCTTTCCTTTTCTTTATGACTTTGTGCGCCCACCAGATGCCAGTTAGCAGAAACAACAGCCCAAGAACACTGCTGGGAACTGTATAGTTCAATGAAACAAGAAAGGATATATAACTCGGTCAAGAGGATGTTGTTTCATATATATATTCTCTAATATGAACGTCCTTATTTTTCTAACGTCCAGACTAGTTTTTTCTACTTTTCTCGGTATTGGTAGAATAGAAATCATGCTTTGCCACTACTAAAAAGTCAAAAATGACCTCCAGATTGGGCTTTTCCTTGGTGGTCTGTAGAGAGAACTTGGAGGCTGTTTATGTATTTCAGTGCCTTTTTTTTAATGATAATAATATTGAAAAGAAGAGAGATGCACAAAACAAAATGGAAATGGTTTCCTTTTCATTGAATGAATGAATTCCTTCTGATCATGTGAAAAAACAAAACGAGTTCAGACATTAAGAATTCGGACGTCCGTATTAGATAATAGTTCAAATATATTATCATTGAAAAAAAAGGCATTGAAGCACATAACACCCTCCAAGTTCTCTCTACAGGGCACCAATGAAGATAAAGCCCAATCTAGAGATGATGTTTGACTTTTTAGTATTGGCAGAGCATGGATTCTGTTATACCAATACCAAGAGAAGGGATAAAAGTGTTTGGGTTGATTTATTAGCACAAAGAAGGCAAAAAAACAAGTAGTCCGGACGTTAGAAAAGAGAACTACTCTCTCTCTCTCTCTCTCTCTCTCTCTCTCTATATATATATATATATACGTATTTTTTTTCAACTTAGTCATCAATAATCAAAGGATTAGTGCAGGGGCATACCTATAATGGCTAGAGTAACCCGTGATGGTCGTTGATCAGGCAATTGACACATAAACCTCCCAGGATAATCGATACAAATACCGGAACCACATCTATTGGGGTGGTCTGGATCCTCGCATTCATTGATGTCTGATTTTTAATTGACAAATGGAAGGTAAAAGTTTTGGCAGGTGTTACGAAAATATAATAAAAATGAATATGAGTTATTTTTATACAATTCCACTCATCATTTTGCCATGCAAAGGGTTTCCAGGAGAAATTGTAGAGTGGAAAAAGTAATAAGAAATTAGTAAAAAATGAAAAAATTCATGAAAAAGAAACTAAGACTTTTGAAGCTTGGACAATGGTAGCTAGAAGTTTACCTTGACATCCATGAAGAAGATAAGGGTTTCCATGGTAGCCCTTTGAGCAGACACATTGGCTGCTGCTGCAATCCGTACTTTTATCATCTCTCCAATTATTTGTTCCATTTATATCAAACTCGGTATAATTCAAATCAAGTACGTGCCATTCCAGCACCATAGGAACGTAGTCCATTTCACCAATGGCAGAAACATTTGTTGAGTTTGATGTAAACCAGTCATGCTCTACAAGGAAGGCATACTTGCATGCCTTTCTGTCAGCATTTAATACTGCTCCAAAGCTAGTATTGAAGGACCTGAGATATGGAGTAATGGTGGTTTGGCAGCAATTCATCCCGATGCAGCTTTTCGTTCGTAGATAGCTAGTACTTGTATAATCACATATGGACAAGCAGCCAGCAATTGTTGAACCATCTAAGGATGTCATCAAGGCGATGTCTCCACAGCTCAATGAAGTAAATCTGTTTTTCATGGAGAACACAAACGGACTTCCTTCCAAGTTCGGCGTCTGGCGGCCTGCTGGCTTATTACTGCAATTAGAGAAGGTAATAGGGCTTTCCACCTTTAGTGTGCCTTCAACAGAAATTTCCAGCACCTCTAAACCAGTAACGTTCAAGAAAGCTTTCGGTGGGCTGGCTGAGTTGTCACATATTATTTGGAACCAGCCATCAAGGTAGCAGCCAGCTTCAATTCCAAATGGATATGGGATTTGAGTGACTGATCCGCATTGCGATGAACAATTAGGCTTTGCCAAGGATGTTTCTTCTGATGCTACCGCACTCATATACCACAAGAACAGAGTAATTTGGACAATGTCCATTCGTCTGCTGTTTCTTCTTCCTCTCATTAGTTTCTTGACGATAAACATTACAAATTGAAAGAAAACAAAATGCAGAAAGATGCAGAGGTAGTTCCTTTCATAGATTACATAAATTCAAATTCCCATTAAGAGTTGGGCTCATAATAATGAGCTAATTAATACAGTTATTGACTAGGGGCACTACCATATACGGACAAATTGAGGTCACAAAAATAAAATGATCCATCGCCTCCAACACAGAATACACCGGTTCAGTTTTTAGAATAGAATATAAGTCACGTAATTTTTTGTCACATTCCGGGATCGGCTCCGTAGTAACACAATATTGTCCGCTTTGAGCTCCTCTCTCTGCCTTCATGGTTTTGTTTCTAGGAACTCACGAGCAACTTCCCAGTAAGTCACCTATCATGGGATTGTTCTAGCCCTAACTCGTTTAACTTCGGAGTTCCTATGACTCCAAAGTCAATGAATTCCCAAAAAATCTCGCGCTAAATGAAGACGGGCATATACATATAAGACAAATCACTCTCTCTCTGTTGGTCAATGTAGGATGTTATATTTTGGGAGTTTCACTAAAACACCCAAAATGGGGGTTAAAATTATAAAAAAACCCAAGCACTATTTAAACATATAAACACACCCAAAACCCATCATTACACACACTCAAAACTCATTTATAAACACACCCAAAAAGTTGACTTTGAGGTTGATTTTGGGTGTGTTTCTATGTTTAAATAGTGCTTGAGTTTTTTTATAAATACATGTCTAGGATTGGGTTTATTTATAAATTTGTATTATATTTTTAACAGTAAAAAACACACAAATTACTAAATGCATATTTCATGACTTTTCCAAGTCAAGTCCACTCAAGATTTCAAATTTTCCAAATTTTGTTTGATTCTGACATTGTCCAAACGTATAGATTAATCAAAAACATATATTTTTCCAAAGGTGCAGTAAATGAGGAAAAAGCTCTTCCATAGTTCCACAATTTACAAGACCACCTATTGATGTAGTACGAAGCAATAATTGGTTTTGGCGAGGACTTTTGTTATCATTTGACTCCTGTAGAGAGGTATAGCTAATTAAGCAGCCAAACTTGACCGATACATATAAGAGCACTTCCACCCTAAAGGGTAAGGGTAAGACAAAAATAAGGCAAGGTTTGTCACCATTCACGTAAATAGTAGCAGTACTTACTTTTTTGATTTCCACCCCAAAGAGCAAGGGCAAGGGTAATTACTATGCACATTAATTTATTTTCTATTTTTTATACTTAAACTATTAATTTTGATGTTAGAAATGAAGAATATGGCTGTATTTATTTATAAAAAAAATTGAAAAAATTGGTATTTTTTCTAATTTTTGTTGTTGCTGATCTCCCCAGATTTGTGGAGTTTGTCGGGTCTTGCTGTTGTGCGCTAGAGTCAACTGCGCTGCCCAGGCAAAAGAAGAGCGTTGGAAGTGCCCTAAGACGATCGTGGATGGGGCTGGATGGAAAATGTCGCTATTTTTATCGTTTGTGGAAATTTCAAAAGCAGAAGTTATTGGGTATTTGATCATGGATTCAAATTTTCAAAAGCAAATCTAAAGGACATCTGCACTTCACTTGGATTTCCTAGATTTTGGAGGGATCGTGGGAGGACACATTTGTCAATTATACGCGTGGGAATATGAGTTTTGGCTGCCCATCAAGGTGACACATAGATAGTGGAGTATTACTTTATCATAGCAAGACTGCACATTTGATCCACTCCTTTCTCATCTTGAATGCCATCCTCTTCACCAATATGGGTGCGTATATAAGTAGTCAATTCAATTATAGTAGCTTCAATAATTTACAGTATTCTTTTGTAGATAATGAATTATAATTACTAGCATATACTAAAAGACTCCTAATATTTACTTGTTATTATAAAGGTGGACATTTTGGAAATGTTATACGTTTTCTAGCTAGCACAGAGATACATATGGTTATGTACTTCAGATTTTACCCATTGATGCATGCAGATGTTCAAGCGCATATATTCCTACAAAAGCGTACATACATATGTATACGGCTTGTGATCTTTTTCGTATACATTTTTGTTTAGTATGATGTATTTTTGTGTGTATTTTTATGTAATAAGCAAGCCGTGAAGGATGCAGCAGCTCACGACTAAGCATAGTGTGGCATGGTTCATGTTGGAATTCAGGAAAATGTAACCAGAAATGCAAGAATTTGGAGGCCGTAATCCATGGGCAATGTGAGATGTTACCTGGTCCTAAATGCTTCTGCTACCATAGATGTTGAATGCAATGAACATATATTTCATACATGACTATTAATTTTTATTTAAATACACTAGTTAATTTCCAAAATGCTACATTAATTTGCTTCCTAAAGGGATTTTTCTTTATAGAATTCAATTCAATTTTTAGTACCCTATATCATATAAGAAGGAGAAAAATTTTCATGTCACGAAGATGTACAAGGCAACGTTACCACGTAAATATCCTACACTTTTGTATTGGGGATGTGAAGGTGCTCCAATCCCATCCACAGTTGCACCAAAATGCACAAACAGTTCTATGTGACAGACTGCCACATGAGGTGCTCAATCTTTTTATTTGAGTGATTTTTATGAAGTTATCATCTTTTGTTCTTAAGACTTATTTATGACATGACTGATCTTCAAAATGGCTTTCTGTACATCATATTGGTCCATGTCGTGAAATCACACCCAGCGAGGGAACTGACCGGTCAGTAGTGGACTACAACCGACCATTCTGCATTTCTATTATGAAAACCCCCAACAGAGTGTTGATTACTCAAAATTCATGGCCTGAAATAAGTGATGGTGGTATGATTACGAATACACTTCGTCAAAAAAAAAGTGATGACTACTTGACTATCGAAAAATAATTCACTGGCTTCTCCACCAACTCATATAATCTCATGTTTATATAATATAATTGAGGCCCCTTGTGTTGTACGTATTATGTAATATCTTCCCAATTTCGATTTTGTTTTCATCGAGGGTGCCCAAAGCAGAGAGTTTTTTTTTTTCTCTCTTTAATACTCTGAGATTGTTCAAACCTTTTCACACTTGAGTGTTGGCCCTCATTCTTGTTTACCAAGTCCAAGTATTGGTCTCTTTATGAGGGGAACTTGCATGTCACAAGAATGTCGTTGTTTTGTTATTCTCATCCAATTACAACTTGTCATGTGGAATTTTTATTAAGTGGGACCAAACGTGATTGATTGGGGATAAAAAAACCAATGATCTCTATAATATACAAGTTTTTTTCCTCTCCATATGTTACTAACCTTTATAGGTTTCACATAGTGAAAAGCACTAAACTAAACACACCAAAAAAGGAAAAAAAAAAGAAATCAAGAAATCAAGAAATTCTCTCCTACAAAAGCTTATCTTTTTATCTTAGACACTAGCTAGTCAACTAGCCCTTGTAAACAAATTAAGACAGCCACTTGACCTGGTCTTTACCCACAAACACTACTACATTTTAGGCTTTGCGAGACGAAGGGGTCTTCCTCGCGCAAAAATGATATTAGTCGCACATACTTATGCGCAACAGAAGTTTCGTCGTGCACAGTCCGTCGCGCAAAGTTCGTGAAGAAAGGATTTGCGCCACGAACAAATATCATTCGTCGCGCAGTTTTGTGCAACATATAACAACTTCGTTAAAAAAAACATTTCGGGACGACCCTAATGTCCGTCGCACAAATATTTGCGCGACGAAAAACTGGTCGTCGCAAAAACAATGCGCGACGGACACGTTCGTCGCGCGAGATACATGAAATTTGCGCGACGAAATAATATTCGTCGCGCGCGTAGTCCTTGCACGACAAAATAGTCGTCGCTTATACACATTTCGCGCGACGAGATAATTCGTCGCGCATACAAATTTCGCGCGACGAAATAGTTCGTCGCGCATACACATTTTGCGCAACGAAATTCTTCGTCGCGCATGATTAAAATATATTTGTCAACGGGTTTATTTAAATGATTTTGCGCGACGAATTACGTTTCGTCGCGCAAAAGCAATATATATTATTAAAAAATTATTATTATTATTTGATTTTTAATTTTGTAAAAAAATAAATTTGTTTTTTTTTTATAATTAAAATGAAATTACAATAAAAAGATTAATCGCAAAGAAAACATTTATTATATAAAATAAAAGAAATGTATACAAGAGAAATACTGTAAAAGTAATTATAAAAATAAAGAACTAATCAAATAATATTCCAAAATCTACTTGGTCATCTGCCACATGCGGCTCGGAGGTATGGGCGTCTGCAGGGGTCGTGGAGTGCTGGGTATTCTCGGGGTGGACGAGCTCGGAGGTCGACGCACCAAAATTCGGGATTGGAATGCCGGACCGCGCGAGTGACTGCAGAATCACCGACATCTGACCCTCAAGCTCGACAACCCGCGATGGCAAAACGGTCACCTGACTGTTTTCCTCCGATGATGACTGCGGTCGAGGTTCTTTCTGAAACGACCCGACTTAATTTCCACTTTGAAATCCAGGCCGAATCCTATTTAAAACTGACACCTGGTAACTATGGGTCGTAAATGATCAAAATGCCCTGGAAACAGTAACATAAACCCTGAGCCTCTAACTCGTGGCTGCGCCTGATAACTGTAGGCTGCCTACGTACCCCTACTGAGGGATTAAGCCAACCGTAGGTCTTTCTTCTGGTTCCAAATATAAATTAAAAAATGCATATAAATTGAAAGCGTAACATAAGAATTAAAAATAAATAATACTTACATGAAGGGACTCGGCCAACTCATTCCCAGGTCGAACATAAACGTCACCAAATCGTCCGTCGCGCAAACTTTTTTTTTTTCATCACCCAATCACCTGCCGACATCTAACTTTTGTGCGACGCTGGTATTTTCCGTCGCGCAAACCTTTGTCGTGCAATATCGTCACGCAAAAACAAAATTCCGTCGCGCAAAACAAGGTATTCGTCGCGCAAACTTGGA